TTTTTAAGAAATAGTATCTAGTTATATAACGTTTTTCCTAACTTTCAATAATTCTTCTACAAATTTTCAGATTTTTCCAATGCATGATTTTTCAAGGGCAATTCAACTCTGAATTTTCCAGCTTTTCCAGAAAGTGGCCACCCTTCAGTAACGTTCTTCCAGAGATCTATAGAACTCTGGTTTTCCAAGTACTCTAAACCATACATCATTAAAATGTTATGCAGCAAAACACATTCAAACATATCTCATAAAAGATATAAAGAGTTAATACATTTTTTCATAAAAGAAAGCATTAAAAAAAGTGATTGAAAAAAAAAAAAAAAGAAAAGAAAGAAAGAAAAAAAACGGACCACAACCATGAAACAAAAATCTCAAAGAAAGTCAAAATTTGTTGGGAAAAAGGTGTTTACCAGTGGATGCTACAAAGTGCACAGTCATTCTTTAAGTGCATGTTAAATCAAAACCGCTTGTTACAATAGAGAACAAGAGGCAGGTGAGAACGTTCATGATGAAAATGTCCCTGACAATGTTAAGAAACCACACTTCATTTTTATTATTTTTTTGTAAAGAAAAAAATCATAGATAGCCACACATTTTACTTTTATACTTAATTGGTGGAGAAAGTACATGTATTACAACAAATTTTGATGCCTGCTATATGTGCTAATGGCCATCTATTGTGAATCCTGACTTACTTTGAAGACTAAGTGATTAATTGTACAATTAACACTTAAATATTTAATTCCATTTGGCAGTGTAACATTTGCTATAAGACACACAAAACAACTATTACAAACACACAAAAAACTATTTTAGACAAAGTTTTCTCCATAACTAGTCTAACCTATTAATTCGATTGCAAACCAATAACATAACCTCGCAGGTAAAGAACACTCAATAAAATGTTTTTCTTCTCAACCCCTGCAATATTATATGTTCTTGTGTATATTCACTTTTAAGTTTAAAACACACAATTTGCATATTGAGAAGTGCAGTTAGATGCCATATATACCAGTCAATATCTCTCACAAAGGAATGTAAATATTTCCAAAAACACTTTTACACACATTAAAGAAAAATTTAAAAAAAAAAAAAAAAAAAAAAAAAAAAAAAAAAAAAAAAAAAGTATTCAAGACATTGAAAAAAAAAGATTAAAAAGGGTATTTAATTAAATTTCTTTTTATATTGCAGCATTCCTCTTGCACAAATTACAGACAATGTCTGCACTACATTTCACTATTTATGAACTGTGTGAATCTGTATCCACATCTGCACTTCTTGCATCAGTATTGTATTCAGACTGACTTTCATTTTCTGAAGACGCACTGCTTGACTGCCCTGACTGCTCAGAAAGAGTTTTCTTCAATTTAGGTTTATACTCAGTAATAAACACTGTCACATTGTTTACAGTAACATCTCGGGTCTGAGCCGTACTCCTGTCCACGTTCTTTAATCTGGGTGGGTACCAGCTCTTTTTCGTTGACTTACTTTTGGAAGGGTTATTTTTTTTATCAGACTTTTCCTTCACCTGCCCCTCTCGAGGAGCTCCTTCCTTAAAATTTCCTTCTTTCTTGTTCATTTTTGGTGGAGTAGGATTGTACTGAGCCACCAACTGGGGGTTTATTCTTGGTTTTCTAGTCGATGAGCCCTTCCTAACGTCACACATTAGACATTTAAAAGCTTCAGCAGTGTTTCTGTAAGTGCACACACTACAATCCCAAAAACTTTCTTCTAAAACTTTGGCCTGGCGTTTAGTTTGTGGTACTTTGTGTAAATTGGATTGTTTCATTTCCATGATATGATTTTCTTTATCCTGAACTTGCTTCAAAAATGAAACAATTAATTATCATAAAACAACCTATCGTACCAGGAACTAGTCGATAGAGGAAGAACGCACACGCTAAACGGCGTTGGTTGCAAATAGGTAGCGTACACGAAAGCACTCGTAGACCTACGCGGGCTTCTCTGTTGGTCCATCTTCAATCGCGAACGCCCACTCTTGAGGCGATCTTCTGGGCATATACCGAGGCTACTTCGGCAGCGAAATTATTTCACGCACGAGAAAACTCTGGTACTGTATCACGACACTTTCACATGGTCCATTCAACTTGACTGCCCGCTCCGCCCCGTCATTAACGTCGATTGCAGTCGCTGGGAGCAGTAGTAGACTCATTGGATATTTCAGTTTAACCAACGTTACAGTTATACGTACTAAAAATAATATTAGTTGAAAGAAAGTTATATACCTAAAAACTCATATTTTAGCCATATTAATTTTGATAAAGAAATTAACTAAAGGCCGTTAGCTTTTTAAAGCTTAATATTTGATAACGAACAGTTCTCACAGAAGTTCACTATTATTGTTGGTTATATTGAACGGGAAGAACAAATGAACTTCGAAAAAACTTAGCTCTCTGTTCTCTGCAGCAGCAGTGAGCAGCAGGTTGCATACATGCGCGTTTTCTGCATTTGTGGGGGTGGAGTGACTGAAATACTGGTGTTAAAAGACAGTATTAAAAATGACGACTTTAAGACCATTTACTTGTAACGATATGTTTAAGTTTAATAATGTGTAAGTATTTGCTAATTGATATTGCTTAAACATGCTCTCGTGTAAATCATCTTCAAAGAAAAGTACATAATTGTTTTAGTTCAAAAATATTGACTGAAATTTCTCTCTTTCAGGAATTTAGATCCACTGACCGAAACTGTATCCTTTTTATTACTCCAGATAGATCAAAATATTCTTTACTTTCATTACTTCTATCTCTAGAAACCTTAACTTTTACAAGTATGGTCTCTCCTTTTATATGCAATATTTAGCACATTGGCCTGAGTATTTCCAAGTAGCAGAATCTCCAAGTGGAGAAATTATGGGCTACAGTAAGTACAAAATTTATCATTGTGAAATGGATTGTGTTTCTATTAACTCATAATTTGTTAATTTTTATAGTTATGGGGAAAGCAGAAGGACATGGAGAAAGTTGGCATGGGCATGTAACTGCTCTTACCGTCTCTCCGGAATACCGACGTTTGGGACTTGCTGCTACTTTAATGGCTTGGTTGGAAGATGTGTCTGAGAAGTAAGATGTATTCTTTAAGCAAATCAGTGTTAGTAAATCGAAGTTAATACTTCAGTGTATTTCAATTGTTACTAATACTATAGTACTTTTAATCATAATCTTCATAAATTATGTAATATGAAGGTATTACAGTGTAGTGTTAGTTCAATTCCAGACTACATAATTTATTTACAATTATTAACAGTATTAGATGAGCCATTGCACAAATTTCAGATTTGGAGAAGTGTTTTTTTGAGAAATGACTGTCGTGAAATGATTAATCATTGGAAGTCTTAAAGTTCAAGTATCAAGTATTGATTCATGAAATAAATTTAAAATAATTAAACTAAATTAATAAACTCCTTACTAGTTTTAAAATTATTGCATTCAGTATTAGTACACACACGTTACACCAAACTTTTTGTGCCTAATGTTTGAGAGATATGTGATATTTCCTACACACTCCCTAGTGACACTATCTTTCCTTGTTGCCACTAACTTGAAGTGCTTATTTGAAGGGAAAGGAGCGTTGTACCAGCTGAGTGCTTAAGCTATGTCCCAAACCAACATTTCACAACTTTAAAAGTATCCTGACAGAAGATATTGAACTGAAAAATATCAAAGTAAAGAACTGAAGTTTTCTATTTGCTTTAGATTGCCCATAAAAGAACATGCAGTATGATGTGGTGAAGGCATTAAAATGTGGCAACACTGCCTATGCTGAGATCCAACTATCAAACAAAAAGAAGAGTGGTACAATATATGGTGCATATCTAGTATTTTCCCTACATTCTTTTGTACACTTCAAATTAATACATTGGACAGAAATATTTTCCTGGAAACACTTATTTTTAACTAGATACCCACACATCCCCCCTCCATCTTCAAATGGATCTCATTTTATATTAATGTAAAAGCAATGTGATTGAGTCTAAGAGTAGGTAATTTACTGCTTTTTTGGTCATGATGACAAACAATCAATTTCTTGTGATGTTTCTGTAAATTGTAACCATTAAACAACAAAACACAGGTCTCATGTCTTTTGAATTTTGATCTTGTTAAAATTCTTTTCATGTTCTATACTCATTTTCTTTTTCAGGAAGCGGGCATATTTTGTTGATTTGTTTGTTAGAGTATCAAATAAAGTAGCCATAAACATGTACAAGAGATTAGGGTACATTGTTTATCGCACAGTTATTGAATACTACTCTGGTGATCCTGATGAAGATGCTTTTGGTGAGTAACTTTGATTGTTAATGCTTATTGCCCAAATAAAATTTCTGCCTACTTGACTGCTAGGGGTTGGGTCGAGAGATATTGCCACTTTCTCAGGTAGCAGACACATGATTGTGTCATTCTTGCATTAGATCCCAACAGTAGCAAGAAACAAATCGTAATTAGAGCACGATGCAGTCTAGCTGTTCTCTATTTTTTTTTTTTGCTTTCTTTCTTTCTTTCTTCTGTGTCTATATTATTCTAATCTTTTCAAATTATTCAGCTGTTTCAAGATGTAGTGATCACTAATCACTTTGTATCTTATTTTTTTATTACGCACACCATGAAATGAAAATATCATGTTTTGATAGAACTGTTTCAATTTTCCTGGAAAGACAAAAAAAAAAACTTGGTAAATGGGAAGTTTATGGTGGCACAGTTCCTTTAAAACATAAATTATAATTTTACTGTGTATTGAGGTGTAAATTGGATGACACTATTTTACTAGTTAATCATCTCTTAGTGCTGCTTTGTTTAAAGGGGAATTTCATATTCTACAATGTGATACTAGATTTGAATTTATGTATGTGACCTTTATGTTTATCTATTTTTTCTGTCACTTATGATGTAGTAAATTATAGTTTTGATTTTGTTATGTAAATATTAAATTTATTGGTCTACAACTTTAATAATATGTTCACAATGTTAAATTTCTCTGTCCAGATATGCGTAAAGCTTTGTCAAGAGATGTGAAGAAAAAATCTGTTGTTCCGTTAACGCATCCTGTAAGGCCTGAGGATGTTGACTTGTGAAGGTGGAAGAATCAGCTGTTCCAGCTGATTTGTTTCTTGATTTTTATTTTTTTTTGCTTGATGTTAAGCGTGTCTTCTGTCATTTTAATGGATAGGCGGTGGGGTTATTTTTCAGACACTTCTCGCTTCCTGACTACCTATTTTCAATTTCTTGAGTAATTTCTTTTTTCTTGTCAATCTCTTTTCGCTTCAAAGTTTTTGTATGCTAGCAATAAAACCTATAATTGTCATTGAATTTGTAGATAGTAATTGTTAAGATATACTGTAATGCAGTAATTGTAGTTACTACTGTGTAAGTTCGTTATCTTTAATGAGGATATATTGTAAATATTTCTTTGCCTTAGAATTTTCATTGTCTTGTCAGCTTGAGCACTGCCTGTACTGAAATGGTATGTTTTTAATAGTAAAAATATTTTTTTTTTTTGCTAGGATCACAGTTTTGCTTAATGTTTAATGACAACAGTGCACCTGGAAAGAACATGCTTGGCATTTAGATTCCCGCTCTCTGAAAGCATAATTCACATTATAGTGTGGACAATATTTGCTATTCAGTGTCGCCAAAATAATGATAGGAGCAAAGGAAAACATATAGCAACACTCCAATATTTTCATGGGGTGTTGTAATGTCTAATTGCTAGTGCTATTGTCCGTTGTGGCTAATGTCCAATTTGCATTATGGGGTTTCTCAAGTCTCAGGTCAAATAATTGCCAAGCTTTCAGATCCAAGGCAGCTATTGTACAGAAATAGAGCATTGAGATGTGAGTTTTATGTTTACATATTCCCAGTTCAGCGTCTTCTGAATATACGATTAGCTTTGTACCGAACAGAAAAATATTATTCTGCTTCCATTTAAAGAACTGTTGAAGAGTGTTTTTATAATGAATGTGCTTTAATTGCACAATCTCTGTAATATCATTTCACAAATGACTGATAGTAAAACACTTTCATTAAAATTAAGCAGATTTTGCTTCTAAGGCATACCATTTTCAAATCTTCATGATTAACTTTATTTTATTATATATCTGTCTTTAGCATGTGAAAGATAGTGATGGCATATCTGGGAATATCAATATTATATATTTTCACTGAGTCGTTGTGATTTCGATAATCATCTTAATGTATACTGTATGTTATATATAAAGGGTTATATACTATTCAGTGACATTGACGATTTGTAATGTGGAAGTAATATATAATTGTGTATCTGTGTGATGTCTGAACAATAAAATTGTTACAGATTTCACACTTTTATACTATCCACTTATATTCTCTTGTCTAAGGAGAACTGTTATTTCTACCAAGTACTTCATGCTAATCTATTAAAGCTGATAGTTTATAATAAATCTTATAATTTAATAAGAACTTTATGAAAGCCATGAGAAGATGCTAAGACTTATTCACAGAGAACTGATGTTTTTGTTGGGTTTTTTTTACATGTAAAAATAGAAATGTCTTCAGGTAAAGTGTCTTATTGTCCCATTACAGAAATATTTATACACGAATGTTTTCATTCTGAAACCAACTAATAGCTTATTTCTTTATATTATTGAAGACATTCGCTCCTGGCATGTTCTACAAGTTATTTTTAATTTTGTTAGTGAAGCCTCAAACCAAATCCAAGAGCAATAAATATTAGAAATAAGATTTTTGGTAATCTTGTGACAATTGCACAAAAGTAGGATCTTACTATCTAGGTTGTACATTAATAATACTTTTTAACTAACAATAAATAGTGTTTGTTTATAGTAGACATTTTTGTGGGAATTGTGTAATTTTTTTTAATTAACACTTAGAAAAAACAAGCTTTTTGCATTAACCCACTATGACATTAATGATATACCTTTCAAATGTGGAATTATAATTCTTTGTGATAAACCTTTGAGTACAAGATATATGAAGAAAAAAAAATTAAGGAAACATTTTTGCAATCTTGTGTTGGAACTCGTGCTGTCCTTGTGGAGACTGTTAATGTTTGCTTCAATCTCTAATTATAAATATACACAACCTATGTAATATATACAGCTGTGAGAAATGTGTTTTTGTTTTTGCTACCTATATTATCAGTTCAAATAATGATAAAAAACAGGCAATTGTAGATATATATATTGAGGAATGAAAATAAATAACAATTTGATACATCAATGTGGGTGTCATTTGTCTCTCCCCTTGCTTTCTATTGAGCTGAGGCCATTAAACAGTATATTTAGGATAGACTGTAAGGAAAAGATTGGAGTAGTAGCTGTGAAGCAGCTATTGAAAGTCGAGTGATTATTAATGAGTGAAATTATCGATGATCTTGCATGCTTGGAATTGCAAACATTTTCATTGAAGTTTTTGTTTATCCTTTATTTAGTTCTGGTAAATTGGTAAGGAGAACGTTCCTAGACAGTTGCTAGCTATCTAGCTAGCATCTAAATTCCTGTCGCAGTGAGCACTTGAACCCTAGGATCTGCCAGTTGAGGCTCATCAAGTGAGAGCAAGATGCAGTGACATCACTTGATTTCCTGAGCCACCTAAGATAGTTGTTTTTGTTTAAAACCTTGAAAAGCATAAAAGAGGCGTTTTTCTGTAAATTACTTCCCTATTTCTAAATCATAAAGACAAAAGAGATAAGGGTAATGACATGATTTCATCAGGTTCATTTGATTTCATGAAGAAAGAGAGTAGATTTGAAGTTATCTTGTTTTAATAATTATGTACCCGAAAATTCAGTTATATCAGTTACTTAGCAGAGAACAATTATTAACAAACTGCTAGGCAGTATGAAATATTTCTATTGTTATTTTAAACTGATCTATAGTTACAATCATCAAAGTATTTTTGAATAGGTAACTTTAAATTGATTTCAAGTCCAAGTTGGTAAAATTTAAGGAACTAAAAACAGATTTCAGCTCTTAAATTATTCTTCACATAGAACCGCTATTAATAATTCAATCAGTAAAAGAAAACAACTTTTTGGAAATATGTACAAAAAACTTATATTTGAAAGACATATGGTATTTACAGTACACTTTTAGAAAGTATTCATTTGGATTTCTAGCATATAGATGTAATATGCAAAGAACACTAGTGCAATTTTCGCAAATGCAGTTTCCATTAAACATTCCTAATTCCAGTATTTCCTTAAATAAAAAGAGAAACTATTTCCTTCAATAACAAATTTAAGTAAATGTTCCATGAAAATCCAACACTGAGAGTATCCCCAACAAATGTTACTCTAAAACATAACCACAATAATGAACTTACTACATTCATTTCGTAGCTTCACGATAGATGACATTTCGTCAAAATGTGCTCACGAAGCTTCATCGTTGTTGTCATCATCAACACCTGCACTTGAAATTTCCTCTCCATCTTCATAGCCCTCTTTCTCCTCTTTCTCTTCTTGCGGCTCCAATTCCTGTTGTTTGCGCTTCCACGCCTTTGCCATCTCCAGCAGTTTGAGGTTGGGCTTGGTTGCTTCGTCTTCAGGAAAGATGTAATCGAAGAATTCCTCCCACCCTTCTTCGCTCTGAAAATTAAATTGATGTTACAATTTTATTTCTGAATTGTTCCAAAGATGTTGCTTTACATTCACAATGAAAAATAAATGAAGGTAGCCATTTTGGAATATATTTCAATTAATTCTGTACAATGAATAATAATTTTCTACTACCTTTCCTCAAATCTGTGTGAACAGTGACTGATATTACATTTGAATGGGTGAAAGCAATAATGGTATCAATGACATTTTATGATTCTGGAGTTCAAGGAAACATTCACAGATTATACTCCTCCCCCATACACCACACACTGTCTTTGTTTGCTTTTTACGATAAATCAACTCAAATCAATGAAAACAAATTTAATACGTGAGAGAATGTAAATGCAACAATATAACAACTCACCCCATCGTCTGCCTGAACTCGCTGCCTTCTCTTGACTCTTCGTGGCATCTTTGCAACGACACTCTTCAGAGACTCCTCATCGCCATGCTGGCTCTCAAAGTCTCTCCAGGCCTCGAGTAACATCACCCGCTCTTCCTTTTCATTTGCACCCCGCAGTGACTGATTGGCTCTTTCATACACACGTCGCGCTAATGCCACACTGTTCTCTTCATTTGCAGACATTTCAAACTGGGCATAGCTCATCCAGACCTGTAAAAATAATGTACAATTTTGAATGAATATCAGCCAGATTGAAATTCTTAATTGATATAATCTTCACCAAGTGTAAGAAAAAGAATATATGAGAGAAATAAGAAAAACAAACAAAGTATTAAAAAAACACATATTTATCTTTAATAATACAAAATAAGAATTAAATAATTCATATTTTTTATTCAAACCTATTTCTTTTGTGGACGTTCATAGATTATGCGCAAATACTACTTCATCAAGCATGACAGATGAAAATCACTAAAATGAACCTTTTATCATCCTTTTTCCCTTTCTTTTCAGAATCAATTACCTTAACATGAAGGGTTCTGTCCAGTAATCTCTCGTACAAATTCCTCGCCTTTTCTGATTCACCAAGAGACACCTCAAAGTCAACATAAGCTTTCCACAGCAATTCTGGCATATCAAGTCTTGGTTGGTTTACTGCCAGTTCATATATAGCTCTTGCCCGATCCAAATCGCCAAGAAGAGTTTCAAGCTCTGCAAATCGCATCCAAGTCACGCAGTTTTCTGGCCCGAACTCCAAAAACTTCTGATAGAGGATACGACATCGATCAAACTCTCGTAGCTGAATCTCCAGGTCAATGTACCCTCTGAAGAGTTTGTCTTTCGGGCAGATTCCTAAAGCCATTCCCTGAAAACGCACCATACACGTAACAAACATTTTAGAAAATTCTCCCCAATAAGCTCTTGAAAGAATTACAAAAGTATAAAGGAAGCTTTCTAAATGAGCACCAGTTAACAACAGAAATTTTCAGGAGCTGAATAAAGTTGTTAGCCAATGATATTCAGTCTCCATTAACTGACTGGAAATAAAAAATAAACTATCAACAATTTTGTACAAAAGTATGAAAAAGTTATCTTTAATTGTTGATGTTCGAAGTCATACTTTTGTATTGCATAGTGCATTTTGTTTTACAGCAGCCCTAATGGACACCTTAAAACTTAACCTTAACAATGAACATCTTATAGAGGGTCTTACTTAACAATGAAATCTTTGTGAGTAAAGAGTATTTTCATCAATAATAGTTATTTATGCATCAAGGACATTATAGGAGTTCTAATAATCAAGCAGTCCCAAAAAACCAAGGGTTTTTTTTTCACTCGAGATCATTAGAAGCAGTTAACACCCAAGGTACATTCAAGATTTTATTTCTCACCTACTTCCAACAATTCAAATTTATTAATCAACTAAATATTAACTTGACTCAATTTCTTTTCATATTTTCCTGCCATAATTCCCTCTATAGAAGAGAACATGTAGCATCATTCAGCTGCTTACATATTTCTCCTCTAACCACAATCCTCTCCATCCAGGAAGGTTACGCAGTGTACATCGAGCTCCGAGTCAACGGCAATAATACATAAGTAAAAAATAAATATATTATGGATTACTGATCTGTATTAAAAAACATATTCCTAAACATACCAATGTCTTTCTAGCCACAGTAAGATTCTTCTGACGAATCTCAAATTGAGCATATAAAAGCCACATTTTTGTAAAAGTGAACACTTTGTGAGGCAATAGTTCCAAGCATGCTCTATACACTTGTCTTGTTCTCTCAATATCCTCTGCTTCCAATTCTTCAAACAGGGCATAATTTATCCACAGATATATGTACCGCCTCCAAAATTGCTTTTCCTGGACACAAAAATGGCAATAATAAAATATAAACACATTGGCGTTACACACAAAATTTGAACTTTATCATTAAGGTAAGTAAAATGTTTGATCTTAACCAGCTTAAAAATTAATTTTTCAATTCAAGGCAATTATGTTTTTTTGTCACAGCTTGTAACTTTGAAAGAAACAGTATAAAAGATAGAGTTATGAATTAATTAAATAACATAATAAACTAATCATTGAGTTATATAGCTACGTCAGAGAACATGATACTTGAATTCTGTGAATTCTGTTGAATTCTTTTTACATGTAAATAAAAAAAAAAAAATAAAAATAAAAAAAAAAAAAAAAAAAAAACAAAAACAGAATCATAATAATGGAAAGGTCTAAAAAAAAATTTAAAAAATATGTACATACCTTTGTGGGAGGAACGTTTGCTATCGCTCTTTCATAGGTTTCTCTAATAATTTCAAGGTTTCCTTCACTTTCCACCAGTCTGAGGTAATCAAACCAGGCATCATAATTGGTAGGGTTTGCTTTAACTTCCTGCAAATAACATAAAATTAACAGCGTATTAGGTAACATTTAATGTATTAGGAAATTGAATCAAACCAGGGAAAGGCAGCACATACATTACTGAACCAACAATCTTTGAACATTTCTTTACAAGGCTTTACTGTTTAATTCTTTACTTGTAATGAGAATATTAATGTCCAAGAAATTTGACAATATACATTTCAAAATTAACGATAGAAATTCTATAACTACATTCATGTTCACGTTAAACTTATAGAATATATAATTAATAATTTAGAGTATATACACTTAGTTTTAAATTATTACCTCTTCATATTGAAATTTTCTTTTGCTGACTATAACATCTTCTATACCAGTTCTATCACCATACTTCTTTTCATGAATAGTATATGCTTTATATAACTCCTGGGCTCTATCTTTAGGAATGTGATCCAAGGCATACTTGTAGATAACTCGTGCACGATCGTGCTGCAATAAAATACACATTTCTACAAAAACCAAGCCATGTCTTCATGACATTTTCGTTGTTAATGTATCCATATTTTAAAAGAAGGAGACAATAAAAAGTACCAACAAATATTTGTGATCTCTTATTTGTAGTTACAAATTAATGGAGTTTACTTATCATATAAGTGTTGATGGAAATACATTTAAAAGGATTTACCCACAACTTCTGCTGGAAATAAGCTGAAAACTGGAATACTCATAACATCAAGCACAAGAAAGAGAGCATTCAGAAGCAGAGAAACTAGAAGAGAGATCTTATAAAGACTAAAATTGACCATTCATCTGTGAGGACTGTCACATTATAAGAATAAATTCAGGTAGTTAAAACTCTGCTATTCTTCATGGCTTCTTTAGACCTTAAATGGCTTTAATAGGCCAGTTCAGATAATACTTAGGACACCTGCATTTTGTTCATAACACAAGAATGTCTGCAGTTCTTTATGAAACGCACATACTGTAAGTACTATTGTTAGAACCATTCTTTCTGAGACTGGAAAAATAAAATTTAAAAAAAGTGGACCTTTTAAGAAGTGTAACTTAGTACATCAGAACCCTATAGAAAATGCTTGAATCATTCTGATTTAAAAAATGTTGAAACAAAAGTAGCTTGTTAGGGTTCTGTACTCTGAACTTCTCATCAAGGTGACAATTTTCTTAAGCTATAAAAACGTAACAAAAATCGTTTTGAAAACACTCATAGAAATAATTAGGGCTTGGACTTTCATGAACAATAAAAACCCAAAATTTCAGTAAAAAGGTACAAATATGCAGTTAAAACTTCACTTTAAAAAAATGAATACAAACTGCAAAAAGTAATAGAGAGATAAGCGCCTTATTAATTTTACAAAATAAGGATGTTTAAAGAAATTTACATTATTTGAGCAGGAAGAAACCACATTGTGAGTAAAGGCTTGACATTAAAGCTTCAAATTATTTCCTAGACATATCTTGGCTTCAGTTTTGTAAGGGTTCCTCTGCAGCACATTGTATAGTGTTCAAAGCTTTTGAAGAAAAAATAAATTAATACATTCAAACATTCCTATTCTGAATAACCTGACAGTCTTTATTAACAAATTTTCAATAGGAAAAAGCTGAAACAAGGGAAACCCCAAACAATGCCATTCACTGCATAAGAACATGAAAAATATGCAAATTAAAACTTCAAAATAAGCATCTCAAGACTACAATTTGGATAGAACTCCAGACTTCATGAACTAAATTGATAGAATATGAATTTGCATAAAATTCCAAACCCTAATAATTCAGCCCTGAGAATTTTGATTTTGAAATCTTAGTAGTGTTGTGGAAAAATAGTTTATGCTCTTCACACTTTTGATTTTTCTAATAGTAAATGTTCAACAGTAAAATGAGGTAAAACAGTTCCCACACCATATAAACCAGAAGTTTGTATAATATTTTTCCAATAAGCTATTAATGTCAGGAATAGAAAAATGGAAGACAAACTATGTGAACAAGAAATATCCTCAAATTCAACATTAATCCAACTTGAGGTGAAAACTACATGACAGTTTCTTACTTTACTATGTACTACATATGACACTGTATATGCATTTTGCTACTAATCTAATAAACACTTCTGTGCATAACAGTTGCAAATAATTTTTTAGTTTACTTAAGTTTACTCAACATGACACTAAACTAAACACTAACCTCTTTCTGCCCCTCCTCAAATTTTGCAAATGCAATATACAATTTTTCATCCATCGTTTCCTCCCCATAAAACTCTACTGCTCTCTCATATACACGTCTGGCACCAGATATGAAGCCATTATGCTCCTCAAAGCGAGCATATTTAATCCAATTCTTTACATCAGGATGAACATACACAAACTTTTCATAAATGACTCGTGCACGGTCAATTTCTTTATACCGAAGTTCAAATTTGATGTATGTTTGCCATGCCTGTTCATCAGGTTCCCATTCCATCCACCGGTCGAACACTTGGCGAGCACCTGCAAATATTTATTTATTTATTACATATTTCACAAAATGGCACATAACAATGGCTATGTTCACGTATAAATGCAGAAAATTTATAATCTTTGTCTTGAGATGCATACAAAATAAAGAAGGTGACAAATAAAGATTATAAATGATTAGAAAAAATTTATTGTTATTGACATGTGAGAAGAAAGGTATCGAAGAATATTTAAGTTGCATTTGAATATTTACACAATTTTTTGCTTTAAAAACTTCTGTTGGAGAGGAATCCCATTTGTCAATTGTTCTGTTTCATGAAAATGTTTCAATGGACTTTTGTTAAAGTAAGCAGTCCGGCAGCAACTGTGCAATTTGAATTCTGGAGGCTTTCTTGAAAAATTGCTTTTTATAGAAGTAAATTGGTAATTATGCGGTGGATAGACTCAAGGATGTTTATAGTGAACGTGAGGGCTGAAGTCCCGAGTCTCACTTTGACTTGGGTTCGGGCGAGCGAAGCGAGAAAACTTGTCTTTGAAAGTAAATTGGCATTAGAATGCGGTAGTGACAAAGCGTAGAAGACATGAAAAGGTAGGTAAAGAGAAGGTAAGACATGAAAAGCGCCTATCCGTAAGTTGTATTCATTTCTGTCAGCGTGCATAGCGTAATTTCAGGGAGGCATAAAGAGACCCACCGCCACTCTCCTCTGAGAGTGTACCATGTATTCTACTTTAAGCAATTGTTTTACTTTAAATATAGCTACCTTGCTCTATTACTATCTTTGTGAAATGTTTACTCACAAACATACTATTTTTTTTTCCCCCCTCAACATTTCCTTAACATTTTTTTCATTGAACTAATAAATAATAATTTTTGAATTGTGTCATTTTTCTTGTGCATCAGTAGTACAAGAATGCAATTTCATTACCTGCAATATGACCAAGCATTTCTTCCATGTAAGTGTATTTGTACCAGAATTGGTTGGCTCTAGGCAAAATAGTGACTGCTCTATCCCAAAGATTTCTTGCATGATTAATCTGTCGATTTCGCATTTCCATTTCAGTATATTTAAGCCACAGTGTGATGTTTCGATGATCAACATCCAAAGCACGCTCAAATATGGATCGAGACCTGTATTAAATACATAAAATTGTTATGAAACTTCATGCACAAAAGAAATATTGCCAATACTTTCACAACATTATTACAATAGATATATAAAAATTCCTTAATATGATGATTTTTGGTATTAATAGGTAAATGACAAACTCATAAGAATTAAATGAAGAATGATAATAGAGAGTTCAAAACTTTGGTTGTTAAAGACATTTACCACAACTGCAATAAAACTCCATTTCTACATTTTTAAATAATTAGTAACGAACAATACCACACCTTTGTACTTCTTTTTGACTTTCTTCCCACAGAGCATATTTGATCCAATTACTGATGACGGTTCTGTTCTTTCGAATACCATCTTCAAAGGCTTTTCTTTTCCGATGCTGGTAGTCTGCAAGTTCTTCGGGATCAGAGATTTTTTGTTTAGGGGGCTAGACAAAAATGAAATCATGTCAATTACACAATAATAGAGAAAAAATAAAAACATTAAAAAAAATTCTGTTCATTTTCTTACCGGTGGTAAAATCTCAAGATCACGTTCTTTTGCTTCTCTCAAAAGCTGCTCAGCAGTTATTTGTATCTCTGCTGGTGCTTTGTTTTTCACCTGAAATGGCACAAATTTTGTGTTATATTAAAGTTAAACAAAATTATTAGGTTATGTTCGGCACAACTTATAGTGTATCATACCTTTGCCACTTTGGGCATCTTCTGCGGTTTGGTATCCATTTCTTTTATTTGGTGTTTTACTCTTTAAGTCGATTTTTTTTAATACACAATTTCAGAATAATAGTTATTGATAACTTGAACAACTTGAACACACCTCTCCCAACGACTGTTCCCAAAATTACAGTGGTACCATTAGAACAGCACGAAGTTGTTATTCACCACTAGTCGAATGGCCAACTGTTGAATTAATAGCGCGTGATTCAAAATAGCGGAATTGTATGACAGTAAGAAGACATTTACGTCTGGAAACTACAAATTAGGTTCAATATTATTACTTCCAAAAAAACACCCTACCCTCCCTTCCCCCACCTTACTCTTCCACAACTACAAAAAAGGAGCTCAACAAAACCTTCGCAGATAGAGAAGCTATACATATCGTATAGCATCAAAAGAAATTCAAAAATGTTGCAAATGCGAAATTGATGCAAGATTTTTCTTAATGCGAACTGGATTGTAATTTTTTGGTTAAAATATAATACAATGTTATTTTACTCAGTATTAATATCCTCGGTAATTGGTAAATAAATAAAAAGTAAAATTACAATGCATTTAAATATTTATGAAAGTAAATATTATTATTTGAAGATTGCAAGATATAATAGTTTTTAGTATCGAAATAACTTTATATCTGTCTTATATGTGTCCATCTTGGCGCAAAAAGTGTACATTACCTTTTCTGAAATATTAAGAAACGTTACGTTATAAAAAGTAAAGCTTTGGCGAGAGTGAATTTTTTCTATCAGAATAACGAGCACTTTGCGCAACAGGAAGTTCCATTTTCAATAAGAAGATCAACAAAAAGTTGTTGAAAAAATATTAGTAGTAAAACGAAGTAAAAGATTACACGTTCAGGTAGCGTGTTCATTTATTTTCCACACGAATGATAGTCATGTATTCTGCGTCCCTTTTTTATATTTTTTTTTCTTTTGGAGGAACCGGTAAACCAAAGATACATGGCAAAGAGGAACTTCGGTTGACACACTTTCCCATTATTACTGTTTTATTCATTGTATCACATAATCTATCATTTTTCGTTATTTGTAACAGGTGTGTTATACAATATTGCATTGATACCCGAATCCGGCTTAGGTGGTTCTTGGCATCGATAGATGTCACTGCAGTGCCTCTGACAGAGAGGTCCTAGGATTCGAGCCCCGATGGTGGCTGGGTTTTCACCACTAACTATTACCTAGCTAGGTCGACTTCAGACTCTGTCTGGAGGATCTAGCAGCCGGCTGCTCTGGTCGGTAGTTTTCCGTGGTTTCTTCGATCAACACCAGGCGAACGTTGGGGCAGAGCCATAACAAACAGATGACGAACCGCACGCGATCTTTCCTACCTCATCCTTTCCTTCCCTCCCCCCTTACTTACACTCACTCACACACACACACACACACATGCACTATACTACCATACGTGAGGAGACCGGTCGGAAGCTTAGAACTTGTCCTGCTGTGTTCTGCTGGTGCCTGATTTGAAGAAGAAACAAAAGCATGCATTATATATAATGATGTCATTAATTTTTTTCTATTTACGTGTAGTGTTTTGAAACAGTTACCTTTTTTTAATTCTTGGTATGTATAGAACTGTTGTACTATGTAAATATAATACTTCACTACATTATTGCTGTATTCATGAAGACTGTTTTCTTTTAAGGTTAATTTCTTGATAAATATTTATCTCAGGCAGTGTTATACGGAATTATTATATCTTAAGCAGTGTTCTCTCTCTTGGAGTGTTATATGGAAATATTGTATTAGGAAATGTTGATCACGGTATTTGGGCGAAGTGAGTTCACAATATTAAAGCATTACTTTGCCGACGTTTCTGAATATTTTTATTCCATCCTCAGGTCATAGGGAGACTTTATTCTGTTATAAAAATGTCTTCATTTCCGTCTTTGTAGCCTTCAACGTTGTGTCCATCCTCTTATCCTCCCAGTTGAAAATTGATTCTACATCATGGTGTGAATTCTACAATGGTTAATTTCATTTGATTAATGGAACAAGGGAAACGACGAAAAACCTTATTGAGCCATTGTCCATCTCGGCCATTGTCCGAGAAGCTACAGTACAATACTTCATAAAATAATATTTACTATTTTAAAATTATTCAGAAGAAATGTTAACTAATTCATTAAATATAATTGATAAAATCAATATTATTTTACTTTGTGATGCCTAATACAGAGTCTAATTGTACAGAAAGAATTTTACAGCAGAAAATATATTTCGTGACAACTTAAACGTGTGAATCGATTTTAATCGATTAATGTCCTTTTGCATTGTGTTATAAAATAATGAAAAAAAAAACTTTATTTTTTTGCTTTAAGCTGTTGATATTAACATCTGATCAATACATCGTGTTTTATAATTATGAACATCTGCATTGGATGAAAATATGTTCCCACCCTTGAGTAAGGCGGTTTTGACAAAATTCATTGATTCGTAAATCAAGAGGCTAAGCAATGGTAAAATTCCTAGCTTAATAAAAAGAGACTTATAAGAATCACGTGGGTGGGATTTACTTATTATTCATACAATTATTTTCTGTTATATAAAAGTCTGGGAGTTATAGAATGTATTTAAACAGAATATAATGCCATATTTCACGCGGGAATTAACATTCGCATACTTGTACACATCGAACAGTACGAAGGCATATTGACTTTGAACGAATTCTGAACACGTTGAATACTGAACTTAATTTTGGGTTCTATTTATTTAATCGGTTTTCCATCTAGGTTTGACTGAATTGAGAGACCCAAACATATTGTCACCTATTGTTTATTGCGTACTCAATTGAAACATTGCATTTTAATGTTCCTGAAGGGAAAGCAGCTGGATAAGATTAATTTAAAAAATACATCACATACCCTTGTTTAAAATAATACTCTTTTTTAGGGAACCGCAATATAAAGTGAAATTCTTAACATTTTAAATTATAATGGGCATTTACAATAAAATGATTTTTTTGGCAAATGGTGCGTTTAAAACGACTTTTTGTCAAAAATACTTTTGAAAGTGCTTGTGATTGCATCAAATAATGCAAAATGCAAGAGAATTTTTCATGACTACAAAACGTTGCTTACATAACTTAAAAATACTTGTATTATTTAATTGGATATACTTTATCGAAGTGAAACCTTGTAAATGAAAGTAATTTTTCAACTATCTTTTCCATGGTATATTGTTGCCAGTTTTCATTTTGTGACCCGTTCACACATTTTCCAACCATTAACAATCGTTTCACGACCAAGTGTAGTCAACATTTCGGAATTTAACAAAAATTCTCCTTTGATTATGTACTCTCCTCTGAATGTAGAACTCCTGAACTTAACGTTATGATGTAGTTTCCTTCTCCTTCTTCTCCTCCTCCTCCTCCTCCTCCTTCTTCTTCTTCTTCTTCGCCTTCTTCTTCTTGTTCTTCTTCTTCGACGGTTTCTACCCTTAAGGGTTTGCTGTTTTCGATTTCCATATTTTTCGGTACTCCCATTGATCTTCTTTTAATCCTTTCTCCTCCATCTCTTCCTGTATGTAGACATTTCAGGCCGAAACAGGTCTGCCTCGTATACGTCTTCTTTCAGGTGTCCAATTTAAAATTTGTTTTGTCCATCTCTCATTTCGCATTCTCTGGGAATGTCCATACCATTGAAGAGTTTAATTTTCTAGTTTTTTGGTTATGGTTGTTTAAACCCCAGCTCTTTTCTGTACTATTTCGTTCCTCACCTTGACCAGTATCGTTAACTGCAAAGATGTTCTCATAACGTCGAACTCTAGTGACCGTATTCTCTCCGACGTTTTATTAAAGGCCACATTTCTGCAACATATAATATAATATTTTCTACTACACTGTGGAATATTCTTCCCTTAGTATCTTGTCTTAATACACTATTCCATACAAGACTACGCAAAGATTTGATTGATTTCTGCCCATTGCGAGTCTAATGGTGATATTCTCATCAATTTTCCCATCGTCAGTAATTATAGTCCCCAGGTATTTAAATTTTAATTGATTGTTAGTGATTCCTGGCACGTCAACTACCAGTCATTAGTCGCGTAAGTGAAATGCAGGTTTTTTGCCTAGGAGGTGGCTTGACGGTGATCTTACCTCCGCTGTATGGCGAGATCCAACGCCGACCTACCGTCGTCTAGTGGGGTTCTCCCCAACCAGGAATCGCCCACCAGCGGGGCACCGACCCGGCCGGGACAAGCTCTTAGCTACCGGCCGGTCTCCCGGCATGAGTGGTAGTGCATGTTAGTGTAAGTGAGTGAAAGTAAAGGGTGAGGACATAACAAGGAAGAGGAAGGAAAGATCGCGTGCGGTCCGTGACCCGTTTGTTATGGTACTGCTCCGGCATTCGCCTGGTGTTGATAGGAGAAACCACGGAAAACTACCGATCAGTGCAGCCGGTCGCTAGAATTCTCCTGTAGACAGCGGCTGAACTCGTCCTAGCTAACAAGCTAGGGTCGCAAATTCTGGCACCGTCGGGTCTCGAACCTAGAACCTCCCGGTCAGAAAGACTGCAGTGACATCATTTGATGCCCTGAGCCATCTCTCCTTTCGAACAGTTAGCAATGTCGTCATCAACAACTTTAATATTAGAGGCATCTCCTACGATGCAAACATATTCGGTATTGTCAAGGTTGATTTTAAGCCCCCATTTTTCGTATCCTTCATTTAATATCCTAAGCATAAACGATGCAGTTTCTTCCAGCGTTAACCAAGGTCAGCGCACTCGAGCTACTTAACCCTCGTAATTAGGGCACCCATTTGATGCCGCGTTAGCGCAGGTCTTCAGAGCGTAATACGGAGATATTACATAAGCTCTGACGAACCTCTGAAACACACAAAACACAGCGTGCGTTCCTATCCGCTTCAGTGCCAGGCTTGCCAGATGGATGCTTCGTATAAACATCTACCGTTAGTTGGATGTTAATCCGCCCAATGAGACGAATTCAACATTTCAAGCGGGAAATTTGAATTTGCATTAAAATATTTGTATTGGAAAGTTTTTTATGAGATGGTGACCTTATGAAATGCTTGATTAGTTGTTTTTTGTTTGTGAACATTGTAGTTAATAATAATATTTATGTAAAAACTTACACTCTTTGTAATAATGAGTTATATCGTAATATTTAA